AGCAAATACTGGAAATCGCCTTGGTAAAGGCCTTTCAGAGCTGTTTTCGTCTTCATAGCGTTTTAACGCCATTCGCTTTGATTTTCTACTTAAACTCTCCTGGTGCTTATGATCCAAAGCATTGAAAAAGAGAGTTGACCTCTTCTGATCTCCACGGGATTTTTTTTATGATCAGACGGGCTTGACCGTGTTTGTCTTCATCTGAGTTTTTGGAGGACATGTACTCCAACATCATTATTCGTCCATACTTGACTTTTTCTGTTTCGCTGATTTGGCTTGTTAGTCGGACTAGCCGAAGGCTAGGTCGACTTGAGTTTTACCTTTTACCAATCTATCTATCTATCTGTGTATTTTGTCGCGTTTGGACCACTGAATTTTCATAGTGGTAGAGCTATATAATCCACGTCCATATCCTTCAGCAGTAATATCGATATTTGATAGGCTTTTGTAAACTAGTCTACTGATAATAATCAACACACCTCTGATTGATCCTTTGGGTGCGTCAGGGTGAATACCTTTCACCATCTTCATTATTGCAACAGTGGTCTCCACATTCTTGGGATCTCTTCGGCTGAGGATAAAGATCAAATCACTTATTTCAGTATTTATTATACTAAATTGAATAGCTATAATTCTTATTGGTCGAATTGTTAGAAAAAGATGCTATAAATATATATGTCGTGATCTAATTTAAATTATCGAACATGTTTTCAAAAAAGTGCTCAACTTTGTCAAGGAGCATTGTATAAAATAAAGTTGTACTTAAAGAYTAGAATGATTCATTGTTTTATTGCTACAAGCTGGTTTCGTATTGTCATCAGAGATGGCCACACTCGTTAGGCAAGTTACAATGAATGAATGACCGTTAAAGTTTGCTGGTAGTTTAAACCGCGCTCTGTAGTTTACATCCGGTAGGGTTATATTACATGGTTTCTTAGTATAAATCTATTTCTGTGTTGACATTGGCTGGCTAAACGTATCAATGAGCATCTTTATAAAGATAAATCCTCTCATGATTTTAAGCATTTAGCTTCTTCTTCTAGTTGTAAAAATTCTGCATCTCCAGATTGCTTTGAAATTTTAGACACTGCAATTAATGATTATGAGCTGATAATAAAAGAAGCTCTTTTTATCAATCATAGTTTTAAACCTCAACTTAATACTCAGGTCAAACACTATAATACCACAATCCACTTGTAATCTCATCTCTTTTTTTTTTTTTAATTTTGACCGTTGTGATTTAATCATATTATCTATAACTACTTTATAACTGATTGTAAAATGTAATCACATTCAAACTGAAGATGGCTTTATGAAAGTCGAAACATGTCTTTGAAATTTAAAAGTGTTGTGGGTCGTCTAGGGACCGTTCATTAATTATGCCTGAGGGAGGGCTGGAGGAAAAGTAGGGGGGCTTTGAAAAAT